CGAATGGCTCTGCAGTCTGAGTGTCGACATTCGACATCGGGGGTCTGGTGGTGCTGAAGATATAACTGAGGATATACTCTTCGCGGTACACGTCCAACGCGTACAGTCTCTGGTCGGATATTCTTTATTATGCCTTCCCAGGCTGGTAGGGGGTTGTTAGACCTTTAGATAATGTGACAGCACGGTTGGACTCAAGTACGTAGACGAGGAATCGATTAGGCTATCTCTTAGGATCTAAAGGTAAAGAGGAAAGAAAGGAAGGAAGCGCCGGAAGGCAGGGCATATATACAGGCGAGCGGTCACGTGAGTATTTCGTAGCGGGCACGTGACTCCATAACCGTGACAATTATTAACTTTTTTTATTTAATATTTATTATTATTACTATAATTATAATTAAAATTATATAAGCCTAGTCTAAAGTTTAAAATCCCTTCTTTCTTTCGCCTATACGCCTAGCTCTAATAGAGCTTAAACTAGATCAGGGTAATAGTAGCTACGCAGACTACTTAGATCGCTTTCCCTTCTCTAAGCTCGTCGCCTAGCCGCACTATACTAGGAACTCATCGACGTCTCTAAACCTCTACTAGAACTGCCCTAATAGCTACTACTCTGCCCTACTTCTGTAGAAGATACTATAGCAGAGCGGCAGAATAGTATTAGTATAGACGTAGCTCTAGCACCTACTAGCTAGATCTGCCCGCAGATAGACGGACTGCGGGTTGTAGCACTAGTAGTACGCCTAGAATACTACAATCTAAGCTCCCTTACACTGCCTCTTTACCCGGTTACAGGCTTAGAAGAAGTCGAACCGTTAGTAGTACGTAGCAAACGCGTGGTCTTATAGCTCATTAAGCCCTCGATAGAGCAGGTACGTCCCTTAGACAGCGAGTAAGTCTTCTTAGTACCGGCTAAGCTCGAGGTAAGCTGCGCGCCGCTTTTGCTAGATGATTGTACTCTTAGTGTGTAGCGTTGTAATAAGAGGCGCTAGTAAGGCCGTCTCGACTGGACCGCTGCTGTATATATCACAAACGACGTCTTCGCCTATAACGTACTGCCGGAGCTAGGACTTAAGGTTAAGGTATGCGCTTAGGCAGGTCCGGCGGTACTCTTAGCCTTATAAGTAGCAGTAGAGCACCCCCTTCTTAGCCTCTATAGTATTAGCCACTTATAACACTTATCGAGGGGGTAAAAGCACAACTAAGTAGGCCTCCTTCCTATCTCGTTTAGCCCGCCTAGACTCTTGTATAAAGTCGATAAGGGAATCTAGCTCGTTGATATGCATTACGAGCCGGACGTATGCATAGTCGAAGCCTGTACTTAGAGCTAATATTACTATAATATACGGCTGCTTAGGGGTAGTAAGCTACGTTCTTAGTAGCTCTTCCTTCTCCTTAGCTATACTGACTTTAGTAGTATAGACTAGGCAACTTAGTAGCTTAGCTAGCTCCTTAGCCTCGTCCCTCGTTCGGACGTAGAAGATAATCTTATCTCGAGTCTAGTTAAGTAGCCCACTCGCTTACTAAGCATCCCTAGCCCTCCGCGCACCTTCTTTAAGCAAACTCCCTAGCCTAGTAGCCCGCTGCACTAGATAGAACAGATTTCGCCGGTTTATCGATACTCGGATTACTTTAGGATTCACTAGGTTATTCTGCTCTTCAAACGTAGCTTGTATTATTAGTAGTAGAGTAGCTGTTAAGTAAACAAACTGCATACGGACGTTGTGGATCAAGGCGAGGTTAACTATAGCCTAGCGATAGTCGGACACTGTAATAGTCAAGTGAGCCTCGTTAAACACAATGCGGCCGAGGTCTTGTGTAGCCGTGAGCTTGTAGGCGTAAGTCCGAAACTGTTTCGTACATGCGGCTTCAACTATAATAAACACTAAGGGCGCATCTCGCTACTCGCCAGGCGCCCACACTAAGTGATCGATCCCTAACTCTCCAACTCGACGGAGGAGATCCCCTTATAGAGACACGAGTAGCAAGACTAAGATCGTCACCCTAGCGTTAGGGAGGATGCAAGGCAGTATAAACAGCAGGCTCTTCCCTTCGCTAGTAGCTATAATAACTACTACTTGCTTAGTTCATAATATAATAGTTGTTACAGCCCGTTCTTAGGCTACTAACCTCTATTACAGCGTATTATCCTAGTATAGCTTTCTGACGCTCTTTAGTAGAGCTATAGCTAACTACTTCTTCCGTAGCCAGTAGACCCCTATAGCGATCTTCTTAAGCATTTGCAGACTACTAATGTCTTTACTATCCCGCTTCCTCTTCCTAGCAAGTCCAAGCAGCTAGTTAAGCCCCTACAAGTCCTTCTACAGAGTTGAAGCACGCAGATTCCGGCGGATAAGGCTATCCTATACATTCCTAAAGTTAGCATTATATTGGTTTGCATATACCCGGTTAATAGTCCGCGTACTATAGTTCCACTGCTTGGTTATAACCCGAATATTAGCCTTAATCTCTTCGGCATCCTCGTCGTTAGCCCCATCGTCAACCTCAAAGCACCCAACGTTAGCTACAAACTTAGTTTTAACGATATTAACTATTATCTACCGCTAGTTGGCTATATGTAGCCTAGGGATGCTAGCCCGACTATACGCCTGCTCTATATACCGCATGAGCCGGTTGTTAGCCCAGACCTTCCCATCTTACTACCACAAGTACAGAGAGATAATAATATGCGGGGTAGACTAGTGGAGGAAGACCTAGCGGAGCGGGATAACAACTACTAAGTAGTCGAGCAAGAGGTCTCCAACGGGTGCAGGTAAGAACCGGATATTATCCTTAAACTTACCCGTCTGCTGCTAACCTTTGTAGTATGTAGTGTACAGCATAACTAGCCTATGCTTAAGGTAGACGTTTCGCCGCCACTAGGTGTTACGCCAGGTAACAGAGAACAGTTCACTCTCGCATAGAGGCTGGCTAGAACCCATATAGATTAAGACTAAGAGCCTTTTTAGGAACTCGTTAGCTACGGCCTCATACTGCTTAATCGCCTTCCCTCGCCAGACCTTAGCGCCATCCGCAGTAGTATCCAGGAACGAGTCCCGCAACAGCTTCGAGTCTTAGATAACGGTTAGCAAAGACCTCACTAGCGGCTTTACTAGCTCAACGTTCTCCCGGTACTAGCCAAAGAACCAGCCAAAGGCATCGGCGTCTAAGTTGTCCTTTAAAGCCTAAGTACGCATCCGCGGGAGGTTCTGGGCCCCGAACATCAGCTCGTCGTAGAGTAGGTGCTAGGCCTACTAGAAGTCGGAGAGTAAGAGCCGCGGCACGTGATCCATATGCAAATCAACGTCCCGGTAGGTCAGGACCTTCTCGTCTACATCCCACTATGCTTGGTGCGGCCCAACGACCTCCTTCGAGACAGTAAACAGCAGTAAGCGCCAGCCGAGGATCTCGCCCATAGGAGTCTCAGTATCCTGCTTTAAGAACCACCCGCAATACTGCTCAATGCGCTCGAGCGTATCACCTAGCTCCGCCTTCTCTAAACAGGCGCTAGTATGGAAGATAATTAGCTACACAACCCAGATCACACCAAACAAGTAGCTATTGTAATTACCCGGTTCCTTCCAAGTCTTAGTATACGGCTTAACGCTAAGCATAGCACAGAAGCTAAGCAGTGGGGAGCTATACCGATTGCCTCCAAATTCGTGGCAGATCAGCGCTATTGAGAGGACGGACATAGCATCTCTTAGCGCAAGCCGGTCTTGCTCGATAGCACTTTGGAAGGCCGCTTCCCACGCCTTCTCCTGGGCATCCGTGAGCTGGATGCAGCTCTCAGGGGTCCGCTAGTCGTCGTCGGCCGTAGTGAAGTGGCTGCCGCGGTAGACGACCCGGTAGCAGAACGTCAGGAACTGCTTCTAGTAGCCAAAGTTGGTCTTGAGCGTATTAGGCTCCTTCTTGGGGTCGAAGGCGCGTATCTTCTGCCCCGGGGCAGCGCTAGTATAGAAACGGCTCAACGCTAGCTGCCGTGGCCAGGTTAGCATACAGTCTGGGCCGTCGAAGCACTAGCTATGTGCCTCTGAAAAGATTTCGTCTATGACCTCCAGCATTAAGAATAGCTCGGGCTCGCTCTCGGCATTCTTTGGCACCGCAAAAGAGGTGTGCATCTCGTCCTTCTTCAAGCCCCGCGTGTGCTCCTCGATACCCGTCCGTCTCAGCCACAGTATTACAGCAGATCTATAGCTATCGAAACCATAAACGATATTGGCTTCTGCTTTGGCATCTGCCTCTGCTACGGCTACATCTTCATCGACTAGCTTGAAGAAGTCTGCCTCTCCCGAATCCAAGCTCTTTGTAC